TCTGCTTTTTTGAAAATAAAAAAATGCATCCTTTATGGAAATAAAATTCCTCCACAAGGCCCGAGGTGTCCTATGAAATTTCCAGATTTTGGCCTTGTGCCCAGGCTTAATGGCCTTGTGCCCTAGAAAAAATATGAATAGCCAAGGCCAAAGTGGCTGTGCCCTCCTAAATCCTTATGTCTAGCCCTGATATCTGTATGGTCTCATTCCTCCCTCTGTCTTTGTTTCAATGGGGGTCTGTACTGTCTCATTCCCACCCTGTCTGGTTGAATCAGGCTGTGCACAGTCTCACACCTACTTCGTCTGTGTTTGAATGAAGCTATGTACTGTCTCACTCCTACTCTTTTTTTTGAATGCGCGTTTGTACTCTCTTACTGCTCTTGCCGTCTGTATTTAAATGGCAGTCTGTAATGTCTTAGTCCTCCATGTCTGTGTTTGAATGCAGGGCTGTATTGTGTAATTCCTACCTGTAACTGCTTTTGGGTGGGGTACGGTTCACCAACAATTTAACTTTAAAAATATCAAATATTACTGCCATGTCCTTAACATCAACCTGACCCTGCCAGCAGTAGACATAGGTAGTATTTAATTTTTAATACCATCATACACACATTATACTGCTGTATATGTCATTTTGTCTGTATTTTAAAAAGCAATGTTACTCCAGTACAGTGCCACAACAAATACTGTGGCCACTCAATCCTATCCAGCACCCCCCCCATCCCCCCATCCCGGTTGTCCCTCGTCTGCCTCCCTGAAATCAATACGCATAATGTGGAATGTCTGATTACTCTACGGCGTAATGTTCTGAGAGCACCCGGTAAAGGTGTTATCAGACACATTCAGAATTACAAAAACAATTACAATGGTGATAACATTACATAGGGAAGCTTTGGACTTTGCATTTTTACATATCGGTAGCATTTTGTCTGTCATTTACGGCACACAGCGCATCACATCATAACCCCCCGACACCACTGTTTTACCTCGCGCTGGGTTGAAAATGCGAGGGCAAAGATTGTTAACACTGTAGGGCTCTCGATAGAAAAAAATTATCGCACACTTTTTAATGGTATACAGCATCAAAAAAAAAAGAGAATAATATCAAAAAAGATGTTATAGCTTGTATATTCTGTATAGAAATTAAACTATATAAAAATTCTTTGCTCATACTATTCTCCTATTGGAGGATCAGAATTAACACAAATTGTGCATTTGTTTTGGCATCAGCGGTAGCGGTCGGGAGTGGATTCGCCTAGGGCACCACATGGCCTTCGACTGGCCCTGCTGTTATCCATCCACACTTTCTGAATAAAATCCACAATCAATATTTCATTCCTTCGCATCGAGAAGCGAAGAAATGATGTCACTCCAAGCCTCCGGTGCTCTCCACTGTGAGACCCGTCTAATTTGAGATTGACCGCTGCGAAGAAATTTGCAGTTTTATTGATATCAAACATATGATTTTAAAAACAACTTACACGAGTGAGGAAACCAATTACATTGATTTCTTTCACACATCTTCAGAGAATTAGTAGAAATTATATGCATAATGGCAATAACAACCTTACACAGTGTTACTAAAACCCCCACAGAGTACAGAAACCACTGAAACAATTACATAATTACTTTTTCCAGTTATGAAAAGACTGGCAATACATTATTTCATCTTCACATTACCGCAGTTTTGACATGGTACACTGAACGGTGGGATTAAGTGTCAGCCCATCCGCATAAACAGCTCCCGCACAGGGAACTTTAACCTGTGGCAGCCAAGCAGGTCTGAGGATGCTGTCAACTTGTCACACAGTGGGACAAGAAGGGGATCTACCTTTACACATTAACACATGACACAATCATGTTTCTCTTGCTTTTATTATGAAGGTTGCAACCGCCACAAGTTAGTAATACTAGTGCCGTTATCCTTCAGCTTAACCGAAAGCAAGCCTGTAGCTGAAACGCAAGCAGCAGCACTAAGTGATGTTTCTTGCACCATTTAAAGAAAATGTTGTCTCCTCCCGTCCAAATAAAATAAACACGAGTCATACCGATCTTTCCCAAATGCCCCTCCAGCTTTCTGAAATACGGGAGAAATAATTCAAGGAGGGAATTCAGTTAAAACAAAACCGCCACTGTGTCAGGACTGACACAACTTGAATTTTGCAGTCAAGTCATTTTTAAGACTTTTACATAGAAGCATTTTGGAAGGAAAAAAAAAAAAAGCTGTTACTGATTGCACTTCAAAATTAATGTATGGGACTCTCCAAGGGGGTAGCTAGAAATTCTGGGACCCCTGACAAAATGTCACCTCGGTAGATACATTGTGCCGATCACCAGGAGAGGTCTCAGTAGAGTTCCCAGAGCAGAGGGCCCCCAATGGTAGATTTTGTGACCTCTATGCAGTGCTGGGCCCCCTGAATCTGACAGGATGTCCTCTGACACCCCTGGGACTCTCCTCTGTGGGATCAGTGACAGTTCTGCACAATCAATGAGCAAAGAAATTATTTTCTTAAAGAAAAAGCATTTCTAAATATGGTTTCGTCATGTCAGATTATCCTGTTCAGCACATGGCGCCCTCTAGGGTCTGTCTGAGAGAATAACAAAAAGCCCATCTTTTGGAGAACAGCTCCTAGCAACAGCAGCTGAAGCCTTTCTGGAATGAAACCAAATTCCCGCAGTAGGACTAGAAAAGGGATTCTGCCCAAATTCCGGCTTTGCGGTGTGGTACCACAGCTCTCCAAAACATGCCGAAATTAACGGGCAGTGAAGAGCAATTTATTTACCAGGCTGCCACTTTTAAGATATCCTCTCTCAGAGGGAACTTGCAAGGGTGTCCCTATATTCTTAACATTGCACCCATTTATGGCATTGGGCTCAAAACAAACAGGCACTGAAATATTTTTATTATATTTCTATTAGCCCAAAATGAAAGCAATGGTGTTCTAGGGGCAGTCCTGCCGTTTCCAATGGGAAATGAGGACGGCAGGCTGTTCATTTCCCCGGGCAAACACTATGGTAAAGAGCTGCATAGCACCAGGGAGATTGGAATCTCCTGCTAATTATTGCAATGCCGCGTCACCTACTGACAACGCGCCCCACCAGGCCCAAGCCTGCTCAGGGAACACTGACGCTCAGCTGTGGGTTCACTCGTGGATCACGGCCTCCTCCTCAGGCACAGCACAGACCCCGTTGCTAAGCACATTACAAACGCGGCAAATCTTAACATTTGTCATGTTCAGGCCCTCACCTAAAAAAAAAAAAAAAGAAACCTGAAAAAAAAAAAAAAAAAAACACCTTACAATTCTGCCTTTCCAGCCACACCATTGATAATCCGTAAGGTATTTAATTATGACCTCACCACGGAGGAATAATTTGTTATAAAGTATTGCTAATCAGTAAATGCAAGCATTTGAGATATCATTGCACCTTTTCCTTCTTAAGACCGAGTCAAAGTATTTGACAGCACAATGCCTCAGAATCTGTCCAAAGCATCCCGTGACTCCTTTACTGTAATACTCTGAAATGAAGTCACCAACTTGCTTCCCTCAGGATAATGAATCACCCCTTTCCTTCTGTGCCCCGTATTGTCTCCACTCCCATAATCTATTTGAGCATCAGAATATTTATAAAAGCAAATAAGTCATAAACACTCCACACATGAGTAAACCGGTAATGGCACACGGCCTCACGCTAGGAGCCGTTACACACAGACAAAACACATTTTTACAAGGCGTCGATGCGCATAGCCTGTAAAACTGAAGGATTAACACATTCACAGTTTTCACTGTGGCTTTTCACTTTAAGAGTCTGGGGGCCTGACAACTTCCAGTAAAAGCCTGGTCAGGACACAAGGGACAATCACAGTAACACGTGGCTGCTCTTCTATTCCTCTCCTCCAGAAACTCTGCAGCTTCCCCTTATAAATATACCACCATGTTACCTCCTTATCCTGCTAAATTTCCCATCAGAGAAACTTGTGCCCAAAGGTTTGTGGCCTGTGCTGTGTGTTGGAGAAGCTTGGCACAGATACCACCACTATTACCACAAACAGCATATTGAGCTTGAAGTGATGTGTGATGACATTATTGTGGTAAGTAGTGTTCAGACCAGCAACTGAACAAAATGCATTTTTGGACACAATCGAGCGTCAGGGCAGTGGGTTGCAAAAAACATTACTGAAAAGGCCGACATATCTGAGTACCACCCATCTTTGAGAGCACGTGGGACAGCAACACAGGCACGGACTTTTATGAAGCTTTCAGCTTGTACGCCCTCTCTCTCGGGGCCTGGAAGACACAGTGCCATTCCAAAGTGTAAACAAAGCCAGCATTGAGCCCAAAGGCTTGCATTTAACTCTGCTCATTTCAGCAAAGAGAACCTTTTGTACACCTAAATCTCTGGTGTCAAATCCCACTGCCTTAAATACGCCACCTTGCCCTACATGTGGTATTTTGCATTGTCAAAATAGAGAGTAGCTCAGACTTAGGTGCAGTTGGACATAGTAGTTAGGCAGAGGAAATACACTCCCATTTCATTGTTTTAATTGACCAGATACTCTTCCTTGTTCCAAGAACTGTTGCATTAGCCCAGCAGGACAAAATGCAATTTGGATAATGTTTGCATGTGCGCTATGGGTAACTTAATATGAACCAAAATAGCAGGGGCTTTCAAGGGTAGCAGCCAAAGGGAGACACTGAGGTCAGAATACAGAAGCAAGGGTTAAAGCGCACCGAACGGTGCACTACAAGTTTTTAAACGCACGGCTGCAGAAGCAGAGAACCGGCCGCAAATACACGGCTTGAAGTGCATTAACCCTTAAGACACTGAACCAGCAAATATGACGATGACCAAATGCAGGTAGAAAAGAGCTTCGTGCATGAATAAAGTGTTTCCTGCACCTCTCGCCCTCGGCTTAAGTAATATGTAACCCACATTTCTTACAGTGTCCCGACAGACTCCACGTGTCGTGTCTTTTTTAGCTTCGTCTCAGTTCTGAAAATAACAGATGCATCCCAGCTTTGTAGGGGAGCAGCTGTGGGTAGCGCAGGCTGGGAATCAGCTCCCATGACAATAATCAAATAAGCCAAACGCGTCGAGAGAGAAAGAGGCTGACAGACGGATGACACCAGTAAAAATCTCCAGCGCCATGTCAGTTTACGGCGATGGTTATCAGAGGGGAACTAAAATATGTCAAATCTAACCGGCATTATTTGAGAACCAACTGACACTTAAATGCGCAATAACTACTTTATATATATATTATATATATTGCTGTGTGTGTGTATATATATATATATATATATATATATAAACAGCAAAGTAGTTCAGCCAAGCAAGCAACTCAGGCAAGCACTGTTTCCGGGAAATTTGCTCGTGATCCCAGTTGAAAATAAAAATAAATAAATAAACAGATTTTTGTGCATGCAACAGATAAAGTAACAGTATATTGCATAGCCATGTTTTACAACGATTGAATGTGTTACATTAAAGTTTTATCACTCAATGCGCAAAAAGCAATACCTTGCATTATTTTCTATAAAATATCCACGCCGTTAACCCTTGGGGTCTGCTAGTGACAGGATTGTACTGCAGACGGATAGCAAAGATAAACATGGCCGATGACCGCTCGCCGCGGTACTCCTCCGTTAATGCCGCTTATAAGGCGAGGCGGACTGCAGTGGGCAGGTGTCCATCTCCGTGACGGTAACCATGAAGGGCCACTATCAGCAGCCACGTGAGTAAACGGACCCAGGGGATGTTTGGTCCGATCACACAGATTGTTACCACTGCTTCACACAGACACACACCAGCAGACCATCTACTCAACCCGGAGGAGGACGCGCCACACCCCACCTCGTAGTCCCTTGTACCAGAAGTTCTTCACCCAGCGGCAGGGATTCTTTCCACTAGTCAAACCGCCAACTAAGCCGCTTAAAAGCACCTCACCCAACATTTTAATGAGAGCTCATTTGAAAACTGTTTGCCAGCGTGTGCCGGTGTTATGCCGAAAAACGCATCCCTGCCTTAGAATGCATGCCGGTGTTCCGACGAGTTGAGCTTTTAATGGTTTTTTGGGGGTCAGGGGTTTTTTAGGGGTTAGGGTTAGGGTTTTAGGGGTGTTTTGGGGGTTAGGGTTTTAGGGGGGTTTTGGGGGGTAGGGTTAGAGTTTTACGGGTTTTTTGGAGGGTTAGGGTTTTAGGGGTGTTTTGGGGGTTAGGGTTTTAGGGGGGTTTTGGGGGGTAGGGTTAGAGTTTTACGGGTTTTTTGGGGCTATTGATTAGCACTACGGTAGCCTTACTCGACAAAGTAGCTCAACTCGTTTCAGATCAGCGACCAATCGGTCATTTAGAGACAGGCATGCATTCTACGGCAGGGATGCCTTTTTCGGCATAACACCGGGACCAGAACAAAATTGTTAAGGCTGCACCTGAAATTAGTGAGGAGGCACGTTCCGTGCAGCCACGACGCAGTCATAAACTGATTGACTTACACGAGGGTGTAGATTATTTATTTGAGTGCGCACCCTTGCAACCTTGGGTCCGTCGCCAGCTCCTCCACCACCGCCCCCGCCTCGGCTCCGCATGGTTAACACAGCACCACCCGATTTACGTGTTCCGAAAATCGGAGCCACTGCAAACATTTCATTTTGATTTATGTAACATTGGTTCAACAAATGTAACAGCAAGAAAACCAAACGAAGTCAATTAACAGATCTGCTATTTAGAGGTCAGCAAAGAAAGCGAGCAATCACGGTGATCCAGGTGACACTCGCGCTCACACAAGAAATATTACGGCAAATTTATACTATTCTATTATAAACCTAAAATTAACTACATCAAAAGCATTGGGGTAGTTTACAGACCCTACAGACTATTTACACGATAATAAAACTCTCTAATACATGTAAATTCGTGAGCAGACTTGTCTCGAATGGAAAACCTCACTCCAGCCAGCTGACCAAAATTGGCAACCCTGCGAAAGCAGCGCGTCGTACAGATTATTCTCAAGTCTGTCACCACAAATCACGGTGATGAGTAATGCAGCCGTGTGAAGTGGCCGCTTAAATGAAATTAGAGACTCACCACACACTGCCTTCTTGCGCCATTTAGGCTTCCCGCCACACGCCTCTAACGGCCAACTACATCCGGGCGCTTTGCCACGCACTTTACGTCAGGTGCTTCAGGATCACTACTGCAGACTTTTTTTCGTCTTGCACTTTAATATTTCATCCCAAATGTACGCCTTCGACGCAACCCCCGGAAAACTTTAAGAAATGGATCAAAGTAATTTTGCCCCCAATTCTCCTAAAGTTTTGCCTCAGCAATGTCCCTGTTAGTGGCCAGGGGGTGGCCAGTAGCCTTCTCGGTGCTCCATAGCGAGGGCACAGGGTTGAGCTGCTTGTGATTCTGCACAGTACATGCCTACCGCGCTGTGAAAGACTCTCCTGGCCTGTGCCGGTCTGAACCTCCTTTTCAAAGCCAAGGCGAACATGTCCGCGTTGGCAGCATCCCGCCTGGCCGTGCTCCGGTCTTTCGAAAGACGGAGACGAATCTGTGAATGAGGCCTTCGCAGCGTGCATTCACCAGTTCCGCTTGGCTGAGCCACACTCAGCCACAACGAGGGCTCTGTTCCCCGCGCCGCCTCCGGGCTGCGCTGCCGTGCACTCACGGCTCTCTGGCAAACGCCAGGAGTCTCACGTCCGCATGCAATGGCCTGTCTCGGCACGTATGTTTCCTTTCATTTTAAAGGGAAGAAAAACATTTTTGTATAGTGCCGTCAGGCTTGCGTGTGTTTTTCATCTTTTTTCAGTCACGCACTTAATCGTCTGATTCCAGATGCACACCATAAAATAAATAAATAACATTCCTCTGGATGACTCCAGCAGTTCACTGCCAGCTAACACACAGGAAGTACAAACTACAAGTCAGCATTAAAGTTTTGTTTTTAATTTCTTTTTCTCAATTTAAAAAAAAAAAAAGCAACTATTTGCCCAATACAATACAAAGATGGTAGGAAACAGGCATTTCTGGATCTCAGAGAGGGACTTTTAAATACGCTTTTGAAATGCAAAATCGCATATGGGTTCAAGTTTGGATAGGGGTGGTGTGGTATCGCATCCGACCGCTGACAGAGCTTGGTGCCCTTTCATCAGTGGTTTTCATTCTCACACCGGCGCCATCCAAACCTGAATCGCCATCTCCAGACCAAGTCTTCCTCACAGCAGGATTCTGACCCAGTTTTGGACACAGGCCAGCATGACCAGCTCGCAGCTTGACCGAGATGCTTCCTGGAAACATCCTGTGGCACAGGGCCAGTTCCTAAGGTGTCTCTAAAGCTGCTAACTGTCATTTGTGCCCAACTCCATATATTCCCCAATTGTTTACTAACAACAGTTCATTTTGTAAGCATTTGGCATTAATGTTTTTCGGCACAAAAGAACAGTGTACGGTTACGTAGAAATCCTCTTACATTCAGATTCATGTCACACAATGTTCCAGAACGACGAGAACCAGCAGCTTCCCAGGAAGAAAGGGGCTGACTTTCCACCATGTGCTCTGTAATCCACTTTGATTTTGTGCTGTTTTTAAAAACACAGACTGCCCTACAATTCTGAACATAAACTAGGTCTCCTTCAAGTTGTCCGAAAGGGGCTATCGATGTCCATTAGTGTGCAAGTGCAACGATGCACAGAGATGAGCACCTTAAACATCTACAACTTTACAGGACAATACAGAGGATCGTCATCTTAAATAACAGTTCTTATTTGTACAAAAACAGGCATCAAGGTGTAAAAATGACACATTAAAAATCTCCATCTCCAGAAATAAATTAATACCATTATTATAAAAGGTGGCTACCTGCAGGGGCAGATTAGCACTGGCTATCCTAGGCTGTAGCCAAAGGCCCCAGCAAACATCAAGGCCCCATTTTGGGAAAAATGGAACAGTTAGTAAGATCGGCAACACCTGAGTGTCCATGTTGATCTCAGCCTAAGGGTCCCAGATACATAATCCGCTCCTGGTCTCATGTGCTTTCTTTCTCTGTTAAGTAATTTGGTTTTCTTTTGTAGGGGATGATCATTTACTAATGTGTCGATAGGTGGATGACCAAGGTGCAGACCACGTGACGGCAGGCATCGGCTGGACACTGGCGCCGGCAGTCCAAGGCCATCTCATTCATCATCTGAAAGTTATTAGGAATGTCGGCCGCTGCCTAAGTGTTCCAACCGGAAGCTTGGCTGGCAGGACATTCACCCGGCAAGAAGGTGCATCACTATTCCCATGTGTGTTAGTTTCAGAGTCTACCGCTCGCCGTAGCTCTGCTCCAGCCACCGTCTCACATCTTTCAGGTGATAGAAAAATGGTCCCTTTCCACCCAGATAGGCAATTTTCTTCTGCTGCACGATGCAGACCCTTTCAAAGGATACTCCATATGCCACGTTTGCATTATTGTCCATACAGTCTGTCACTAGGCGGCACTGTGGCGGCAGGGCAAAGTGTTCCAGCAGCGTGCGGGCAGCCAGCATGCGCTCCTCCAGGCTGCGGTGTTTCCTCACCTGGAAGGCATTTGACTCCATGGGGGACACCGCCCAGCCATCTGAGGGGTGGGCCTCGTCGATGTATACAACGAGGAAGTCTGCCACATCCGAGAACTCCTCCACCAGCCGCCGAAAGGCCGGCAGGTGGGTCACGAAGGGGGGTCAGGAGGCAGAGCCGAAGTTGACGATCAGAGGGCGGTCAGACGACTCAAAGTCAAGCAGGTGGCATTCGTCGTCCATCCTGCTGCCGAGGCTCCGCCTCTGGTCTGACGAGCCGGGGACCTTCACTACCTTGGAGTTCGGGGCCTCACCTCCCAGCTTCACCTGAACAAAGAGACCAGTGACATGCTCCTGTCAGTATGACAACTTTCTTCATTCTCTAATTCAGTTTTACATGCATTTTCAGCATCATCTTCAGAACAAGTATGTTCAAGTGCATGTAACTTAAGGCTTAATAGTATTTTTTGCAAACACAGCAACTTTCACACAATAATACATTCTCAAAGTCCGAATGGTTTCACGCGAGGTTTAGGTATCAGACAGAAAATGAGACTTTAAGCTCGAACAGTGTTCAAGGTTACTTCTGCAATGTCGATATCTGGCCACAACCAATGAATGAAATGCGGCAAGACATCAGATTGAACGTCACTTTTATACATGCAACTGATAAGAGATAAGGGTCTCCAACAGGAACTTGAGCGTTTGTTGACAGTTATACTATTGGAAATATTGTTTGGCATATTACAGATGTGGGGACAGCCCAGTGGGCATCAATCCAAGCTATAATTTTCTCAATGTGTTAGTCCATTAGTTAACTGTGTGTTAAAGACTGTGACTTTGGACTGATAAACATAGACTGGTAACAACCATGATGATGACCTTGTTGCTAGATACTTGTTAGAAGTTCAGCCTCCTTGACATCTGCATGCTTTTGATACATTATCTGCCTCACTTCTACGTTGTTATGAACAAAGACATTTGCTAAATAAACAGAAATGTAAATGTCATGTAGAAAAAGAAATGAATTACGTCTACTGCCCATTTCAGTAGAGTCAGCAGCACAATGTGAATTTATGCTACCGGTGGTAGTATAGGACTCTAAAATCCATCTACTCAACGCTTCCATTAAATTGGCCATTTTCCACTGGAGTGTGACGTGATGTCCTACCAAATGAGAGCTGTATTTTACAGAAATCTTGAAAATGCTGCTTTTTTAAATCTCGGAGGCAGGATGTCTGGTGTAGTCTGTCTGATGACTACCCACACACCAGCAGACACACACACACACACACACACACACACACACACGTCTGTCGTGACCCTTGTTTTGCAGTAATGGAGACTTCTAGTGATGGCTGTCCACACTGCCATATCTACACATCTAATACTCTTGCCCTTCCTCATCATGGTGAACCAAGATTGACAGCATATTTCTGTTATGGCCTCGTGTGGCAGACGACCTTAGAACAACATTGCCAGGACCACAACCTTCATTGTGAAGAATCACAAAAAAACATCACAAAAAAGTCAGAAAAGACAGATCCATGAAGAGATTCACAGTCACGATACAGCATCATAAATACTCCGTTTGCATACTTGTGACACTGAAACCCCCAAATCCATAGTTACAGTATGGGACATTTAACACAACATGGATTTATTTCCTAGTTACATAAAGTTATTTAAGGTCAGGGAGACTGGCTTTACAGTGTGGCTAAACAATACATAAAACATGTCATGGAAATGTCAAATTCTGTTAAAATCAATAATTAGGTGATGGGACACAGATAAAGAACCTCCACCACTGTGCCATCACTAATTCACATAAAGGGGCATTTAAGCTCCCTTAAACTGCCCCTGATGCCATCAAGCTAATTCCAAGTGCAAGCCGCGGTGAAAGGTGAATGCTAAAATGCTCCTTTGACAGATTTCTGTCTAAAAATAACAGCGAAAAGAGCATCAGTATTTGAGTTCCTAGCACACGGGGCAATGGCCAGCTGGTCCTTACACTAAGTAGTATCAAAGTTCAAGTCAGTGCGACAGGAGGGGATTATGCTTAAGAAAGGCATCCATCTAAATTCATACGCGGATTGCCTTCGCAGACAATTATCAAACAAAACAAGAAAGCATCGTATAAAGTGTATTCTACCGTTATGTTAACAATTAAATAAATTACAATAAATATTTTTACAATTTTTATACTTATTATGGCCAGCCCGATGAATTCTGTACATACTCTGCGAACTTATATGGGAGATGCCCGGGGAGATCTGAAGCCGTTTTTTAACGCATGGTTACCTGCTTATAGGCATCGAGAAGGAAACTGTTCCACACAGACCGCAAGCCAGCAGGAGTCAGCATGCGATGCCACTGTCCACCGGCGGCGGAGCCGGAGCAGCTGAGGAGAGACACTGCACGCTTCAGCAGCACCACCGAGTCATACAGCGCCAAGAAGAGGCAGTTCGAAAAGAAGCCCGGTAAGATCTGCAAGGTTACCAGCAAGTCCACACTTAACATGCCCATTTTCACCCGGCCCTCGGCTCACACACGTCTGTCCTTCTGAAACTTATCTTTCCGAACCCATCCTGCTCATATCCGTATCTTCTCCGCTGTACTGTAATCTACTCAATGTTCCCGTTCAACGACCCTCTCAATAATCAGATAGACGCAGTTGCCGCCCCCCGGCTATCCCTTCCACATTCCTCCGGCAATTATCGGGCTGCCCGATGAGAGCCCGCAGTCTGTCGCTGCGGTTTATATAGCCCGCATCATCGGGCTGTGTAATAAAAGTGGGGCTTATCTGCCCTAAGATCATGACGTCAGGGCGAAGGCTTCACTCGGGACGGGACGGGCCAGCGGGGAGGAACCTCGCGCTCTGCCAAAGGAGTCCTGTCACACGCCACGTGCTGCTGTTCGCGGGGGACAAGGGCGCCCGCAGTCACCCGCTTACCCGAATAGCGTAATGCATGGATGATAAATAACGGCGGGGTATAATCGCGTCGACGCAAAACAGACGGTAGGTTCAATGTAAACTTTAGTGAAACAACTTTGAAACAAAAGTAAACTTTTAGACCTTCAAGTAGGCTGTGCCGCTATTTATTTATAAAATTACCGTACAGCGCTACAAATAATAGTCTCATTGATTAGATTACTTTGTTGTCGTGTAATCTGATTTTTTTTTTTTTAAATGACAAAATGCCGCCGCTCCCAGGTTAGTAACATCAGTACTCGTCCGGGTTATATTCCTGAGCCTGAGATCACCTAGTGGGCATGCCTTGCCGCTGACACCGCCTGACGCGTTTCCACCGCGGAGTGCGGAGCAGAACCCGGGGACATCCCTACCACACCCGAGTATGGCTTCCAACACGGACTGACTTGCGTTGTGCCCGTGGCGCTGATTACCTTCAGTAGTTTCGGATACATAAATTTTTGCCGGGGTGTTGCTAGGATCTTAGGACATCAGGGCTTTAGCTCAGAGACCTAATCTGTCCCAGGGTCGTCATCATCATCATCTCTCTCTCTCTCTCAAGTTACTATGATCGTAGCTCTACAAAGGTGTTGAGAAACGAAGTCCTGGATTAGGGCTGTTGTGATGTATGGGATTCTCAGACTGAGGGCATACTTGTTATAAACACCTGAGCTAAACAAACCATTCAGGGCTCGTTCAGTTTCATTCGGGATTTCAGCCCCGGATATCCTAGGCTCGTGACATGAATGAGTGAATTTTAGTGTGTAGCAAGTTCTCCATACTTTCACAATCAAGATAAAGTCTATTAAAACATTACAAAATATCAAGACTATGCAATATCTTAAGTGATAGATAGTATCACATGCAGACAGAACTGTTAACTATGAGATGGAGAACGCTTTCTTGAGAAAACTTGTATATGGGTTGCATTATCTGTGTTTTTATCACTCAAAGGGTGTTATTTCTGAGTAAGCAGACTGCTGTGGCAGGGTTTGGGTACAGACAACAGGGCTAAATAAAGCAGGAGGGCAATCCAGATTAAATCATGTCACAGATGTGATGCTCCGGGCTGAAATCTTACCCAGTCTGGATTTAAAAGCTGTGCATGGCATGGCAATATTGAGAGTTTAGCAGCCTGGGGCACAGTGACAGGGAAATTGATCAACATGTGCTTTAAACAAACTACTTTTAAATAAATTAGTAGAATGAACAAACTTGGCAAAATATTTTCAGACACAGGGGGAAGGTCCTGTGTAGGAGAACCAGGCTGTGCCACCTACCAAGATGTGATCACCCCAGGCCTTGTGAATCATCGCCTTCGGATTGCCGGCACTCCCTTGGTTTACCGTTGCCAGTTCACCAACCCCTCTTCAGATCGGTAACCATTTCTGTTAATGCATTCTTTACATACTCGACATGGCTATGCAGGTTTCCCCACAAAATTGGTATAAACGCATGTTTCCTGTCTGCCGTCAGGTGGGCGTACGCTTGGCATTAGCTAACGGCGGGCACATTTTCCAGAACACCCGTCTTGTGTGCCATCTATCATTACGTGCCATGAGGTCTCGTCTGGTACGCTTCAGACGTGACATGCCATGGAGAAGGAATGCCTCGCCTCTGCCTGACAAGCAAACTCCTGCTCAGTCATTCTGCATTAACTTCTAGGGGCATTTTCTGCTTGTAGGTTTGTCTTTTTCTCATCCTGACACATGTTATCACACAGTCGGACTTACGTAAGTGTGCTGCCGGGCCAGGATGGGTTGGAGCGCAGGTTGGCCCTCTCCCCATCGACCCCTAGGACTTGCTGACATCACACGCCACAACTAGTGCATCAAATACCTTATATGATACACATAGTGCTGTGGATCCTTAGTGTAAAGCATATTCTGCTATTAGTAGTGTTGTCTTTTTCCTCCAACTGCAGTGTTTTGGGGTGTGAGCCTTCTACCCACATGACCGTCCTCCTAAGAAAGATGGACTTGACGCAAGTAGCTTTACAGGTTCTCTGGTTCCCTTGATATTATCGGTTCACCTCCTGCAAAAAAAAAAAAAAAAAGTACGGCCTCACATGCCTTTTGGCAGCAATAATCTAATTGCTGCTGTATTTAAATCCTCTGCGCAATGAGTAAAACTGGCCAGTGGGTCAGGTTTCATTAGGAAGCCCCCACCCCACGGACGACCCCACCCCACGGCGAATCAGAAACGGCCAGTCGCATCGCAGCTGCAGGACTCGCCGTGCGAAGCATGTGCCGGATCAGCGGCGCTCATGCAGCACCAGTGTAAGGTTAGGGAGCAGTACTCAACATGCGATATTTAGAGAGAGACCGTTTCCTTTATGTCAACACTGTATCAAATGTCCATCAAAATACAATAAAGTGAAATTTCCGTGAAACGACATTCCAATGGACATTTATGCAGGGGTGTGAAATTTTAGGGTAAGTCCAGTAAATCCAGGTGCTAAATAAAACATTACACCTAAGCAACTTGCCTTTTCATGACTTGCTCTGTATAGTATAGGATTAATCTACTTAACTTACAAGGCTTCGATATCAAATATCTTCATGAAATAATTTAAAGGTTCCTTCATCACAAATTAAATTCTTTACAAAATAATTGCAATATTTAAATAACAGATTCGCATATCGAGCACTGAAATGTTTCTTCACATTCACTGTTCGCCAAGAGCAGTCTGTGGTATGAAAAAGCCCATTTCTTGCACTGGGCCATGCAGGTGAGACTGGGAGTTTCAGGTAGTAAACCAAGGAGCACCACAGACATCCCTGCGGGGCCCACATCATTCAGCCTCGTTTCCTCAGTGCAAGTCCAAACACTGTGCTGTTTTGTTGTAAATACTTTATCTGTTTTTATTGTGTTTGAGGGAATATCAGCAGAAACAGCCATCTTAAAAGCCATTAACACCACATAATGTTCAGTTAAGGAAACACTGGATTGATCATCCCCTTAAAAAGCTTGAACCAGTATTGGGGGCACTGTGGGCCTATTTTTCCATTGAACTTAATTTCACCCTTTGCTCAGTATTCATCTATGAAGCCAACCAGGTTGCCTGGCAGCAAGGAGAGCTAATGTGTAGGGTCACCTAGCGGTCCTGCCTTCCACAATAGGTGTGAGGTCAAATAACGTCAATGATCAGAATGAGCCTGAATAATTGACACCTACTGTTCCTTTCTCTGTGCACTAATCGCCCATCATAAAAAGAAAGGTACATTTAGTAAACGGGGATCGATGGTTACATTACATTCACGAAGCTCGGTTACAGGCCCACTCTCAACAGGGTTCCTGCAAGATGTACAGACGTCATGTAATACGGAGCCTGAGAAGACTGCGTGTGTCCGGCAGGGTGTGCAAGATGGGTCCTCGCTGACGCAGGACCAGTCAAAAGGCCTTGTCTGGCTTCCATCCTCACCTATCCCACCCTTCCCCCGGCAGTCAGCCGGGCCTTTCCGCGTAACGCTGGCAAGCGGTTCCCAAACCCACTACCCGTCTGTTTTCAGTCTGCCTCCTTATCAGTTAGACAGTTCAAGCAAACACACTCGTCTGCACGGAGGGCCAGAATTCCAGGGGGATCGAGTGCCACTCCGGAACCGCCGGTTCACTGGACAACGGGAGTCTGGGACACGTGTCACCACCGTCTGAGGTGTGGACAGTAAGGGGAGGATGAAGGTGCTGGAACTACCATGTTCCAGTATGGGGGCCGGGATTTCTATTGCTCACAGAGAAAATGCAGAATTCAATTTAGACTTTACAGCCCTTTCAGCAACAGAAACCAGGAAGTGGTACACAAGTGTGTCAAATGTGAAAAAACAGCAGAAGAATTAGTAGGTATCATGAATTTACAGAGATGGTTTAACACAGCTAAACAGGCAGGTTATTTTAATTATATATTACTAAGATGGAGTTCAGCTGCAATGACTTAATTCTGAAGTATCACCTCATCTCACGAATGGACTACAGTGACTCAGCACTAACATCTGAGATGACATGGATCACCAGGAGGAACGGCACACAGAGAGCAGTCCAGATACTTCAGACAGCTGCTCAGAGATGGAACAACCACTCCCCCCCCCCACCTTACCTTTAACAACATGTCAGTAAATTATTTTTAAAGGATAAACTGTACTATCCAAACCAAAATGCTCCCTGGAAGAATAAACAAACAATATTCCTTCTTTCTTTTTTTCCCTGTGAGCAAGAAACAACATCTGTGATGAACAATGACATCAGAATTTAAAAATGTGTCTCTCATCACTTTTTAGAGTTCTTTACCCATTTTCTCTCTAAGGACAAGATCAGAGCATGGTTCGAATTAAGACCCAAGACCCCCCCAAAGAGACAGAAATAGCAGTTTTGGGGGGGGTCTTAACATTATTCTTTTGTTGTAAAAATAAAAGATAAACCTTTCCTACAAGGTGAGGTTATGTAAATAAACGATTTCAGACACCCCTAATGTGGACCGTACCATTTTAACCACCTCGGCGCTAGAAGCAGCCAGTCGGTAATTGCGTCATTCATTCTCATTGAGTGACCTGTTCATTGTGTTTGTCTGTCATGGTGCTGTTTGTCGTGCGTTGGTAAATGTAAGTAGCCAACAGAAGTCTAGCCTGTTGAAAATGTGTTATTTTACAACCTTCATTTATTCGTTTCATCTACTGATGCAAGCTGACGTCTTTATAAGTTGAATTACTTACCATTGTCCTTCTGAGGCCGATGTTCTGTCGAGTTGAGCTACTTTGTCGAGGTAAGCTACCGTAGTGCTAATCGATAGCCCTAACCATAGCTTACCTCGACAAAGTAGCTCAACTCGACAGAACACCGGTACAGTCAACTTTAGTTACATTAACTAGCAAGATGAGCTAAGTTCTCTATTTAAAGCAGGCTTATTTGTTGAGGTAAAATCGATCATGGTCATTTTCCAAGGAGATGAACTCCATATGTTTTCGTTCTCATTTTATCACGAATAAATTGTGTCTTTCTGAAATTAATTTGCCACTTAGCCTGTGTGGTTTGTTATTAGGCTAATGTTAATGCATAAGAAGGTCCAACATTATGCTCTGAAAAAACATTACTATAAGTGAAACCTATAAGGACAACGTAAAAAAACTAGCTAACAAATAATAAGCCCTATTATTTGAATTTTAGTGGTATTGAATCTGCATTCCACAATTTCATATTTATAGACATTTTTAGAAGCTTCATCTGATAGCCCAGATACTGTTTTGTTAAATATGGATTAGATTTTATTCACAGACACATTATGAGGAAAAGGAAAGATGGAGACATCAGACACGTTTTTGGTGGTAAAAGAAGAGTAAGTAGGAAATATTAGTGTTAAGAGCTACAGATCATTACAGTAAAAGTATAGGCGCAGTTTTGCAAACTTAATGAATATGAAGGAAAGTGGTGGTCAGCAGAATAGAGGAGAGGCACAGGAGCAGGCAGCAGGAAGATGGCAGGATGAGGACAGTGTGCAGGCAGCAGGGAGATGGCAGGATGAGGACAGTGAGCAGGCAGCAGGAAGATGGCAGGATGAGGACAGTGAGCAGGCAGCAGGAAGATGGCAGGATGAGGACAGTGAGCAGGCAGAAGGAAGATGGCAGGATAAGGACAGTGAGCAGGCAGAAGGAAGATGGCAGGATGAGGACAGTGAGCAGGCAGCAGGAAGATGGCAGGATGAGGACAGTGTGCAGGACCGTGAGCAGGCAGCAGGAAGATGGCAGGATGAGGACAGTGTGCAGGACAGTGAGCAGGCAGCAGGAAGATGGCAGGATGAGGACAGTGTGCAGGACAGTGTGCAGGCAGCAGGAAGATGGCAGGATGAGGACAGTGAGCAGGACAGTGTGCAGGCAGCATGG